CTTATAGCAGAAATACTGCTACATTGCGGCACAGGCTTGTAAAATCCCATATATATATATATATATATATATATACGTGATTTGCGCTCCCATGGTTTTCATGCCCCTCCCAAGCTAGCGTCAGATTGCCCGTCATGTTCTGTTAGTGGATCCTGCTCAGATGCTCACACACTGTAGTTAACAGGAGACATTTTATTATGTGCTTCTAGCTGCCATTATACATGTGTCTGCCCTAGAACTACAACCAAAGAGAGGCAATAACACAGTTGTACCAGTATCTAAGTAGTGAGACCCCTAGAGGCCATACACAGCATATAACATATTGCTACATCCTTTCTCTTTTAAATAAAAGAACAATGAAATATAACAAACACAAAATGGTGAAGTAGAACATAGCTATAAATTAGATATAATCCTTGAGGTGAGCCGGCTTTCTGATTGTTCTGCCAGCTCGCGTAACATATGAGGTTTCTTCTGATTCTGGCAGTCTATTTTCTGGGACTGTCTCTCTCTGCCTAGAGACCTCCCTATGCTCCTCAGCAGTTCCTGTTTCTTTGTTGCTGGTATTCATAGTCTCATCGCTTTGAGTGTCCATATACTGTTCCCAGGGCCCTGTATCATCTCCTTCTTGTGTTTTTCTCAGATGTCTCCGATTTCTCCTCCATCTTCTTCCTTCCTCTGTTATAATTTCATAGGACCGTGGTCCCAATTTCTGTACAACCTTCGCTTTTTTCCAGTGTTTGTCATATTTCCCTATTGGCTGAATCCGTACATTGTCATTGCTCTGGAGAACAGGCAGATCTGTTGCAGATTTATTATAATAGAAAGCTTGCCTATCTTGATTCTTCGTTAGTTTGGCTTTAACATTGCCTACAAGCTTTGGCTTTAGTAGTTGACCTGCAGTTGGTAAGAGAGTCCTTGTACGTCTACTCATAAGCCGCTGTGCTGGACTGGTGTCTAGGCCTTGTGTGGGTGTGTTTCTGTGGTCCAGTATAGACAGGTATATCTCTGTAACTGCCTGTTTTGCCTTTTGCATGAGTCTTTTGGCTGTTTTTACTGCTGACTCGGCTTTACCATTACTCTGCGGATATCCAGGAGATGATGTCTGGTGCTCAAATTCCCACCTCTCCCTGAATTTTTTGAATTCTTCCGATGTAAATTGAGCGGCGTTGTCAGAGAACACAATATCCGGAATGCCATATCTGGCAAAATGGGCCTTGAGTTTTTTAATTACTGTTTTGGCCCTTGTGTCCTGTAAGTAGTCTATCTCCCAGAAGTTGGAAAAATAGTCCACAGTTACCAGATATTCCTTGTCGTTCCACGTGAACAGATCTGTTCCTACTTTTGACCATGGTCTGTTTGGAATTGTATGTGGTTGCAATGTCTCTTTCGGTTGCTTATCATTGCACGATGCACATATTTCACACTGTGCTATAAAGTTTTTTATGTGGTCATTCATTCCAGGCCAATAAACATATTCTCGTGCACGACGTAGACATCCTTCTACACCTAAGTGAGTCGAGTGCAATCTTTCTATAATGTCTCTTCTAAGTGATTGTGGTATGACAGCTCTTTCTCCTTTAAAGATGATTCCATGCTGCACAGAGAGTTCATCTCTTATGTGAAAAAATGGAGAAACCTCCATTGGAGCATGCTGCTTGTGTTTTGGCCATCCCTTCAAGATGACAGTCGATAGGATCTGTAGAGTTTTATCTTCCGCTGTGCAGGTCTGTATTTGTTTCAGTCTATCTTTTGAGACAGACAGATATTCACACATATTGATGCTTTCAATGTCTTTTTCTTCTTCATTTGTGATGGGTAAGTAAGCTCTGCTTAGGGCATCTGCAATCAGTAAATCCTTCCCTGGACAGTAACAAATGTTAAAAGTCATATTTCTGAAGCCTTAACAGCATACGCTGCAGTCTTTTTGGGGGAATTCAGTAGTGGCTTCTTTGTAATACTTTCTAAAGGCTTGTGATCAGAATGCACCACCACTTGTCGACCGTAGGTGTACTGGTGAAATTTCTCTAACCCAAATACTACCGCTAGTAGTTCCTTCTCGATTTGAGCATATCCTTGCTCTGTTAGAGTTAACGCTCTGCTTGCATATGTGATTGGCTGTTTATCCTGCATTAGTGTGGCTCCAAGGCCGGTTTCTGAGGCATCACATTGTACTACCACTGCTTGATCTGGATCAAAATATTTTAGCGTTGCTGCGTCTGCAATAGCATTTTTCACTGACTGAAAAGCAGTTTCATGGCTTTCTGTCCATTCCCAGAGTACGTCTTTGTGAGTTAGCTGTCTCAGTGGCTCACACATGTCTGATAAATGCTTGCAAAATTTGGAAAGATAATTCACCATGCCCAGGAATCGTTGTACTCCACGTATATCTGTAGGTGTCGGCATGTCCTGTATCGCCCTCACCTTCTCTGGATCGACTTTAACACCATTTGAGGTAAGAAGATGTCCAATATATGGTACTTCTGTCATTTTTAGTTTGAATTTTTCCAGGTTCAGTTTGATTTGTTTTTTCTACATCTGTCTAAGAATTGTATCATCTTTTTATCGTGATCCTTTGTTGCGGATTCTAGATCATCACCTTCCCCAACTATTAGTATATCGTCTGCTATTATTTTTACTCCAGACAGTCCTTCCAAAGCTTGCATCAATTTTTGTTGGAACACTTCTGGAGCTGGGCTTACTCCCATTGGCATTCTAAGCCACTTATAGCGTCCAAATGGGGAAGAAAATGCTGTTAATAAACTTGATTCTTTATCCAGTTCCACGTGCCAGAACCCATTTTTCACATCACATACCGAAAATATTTTAGCCTTTGATAGATCTGGTAGAATATCTTCTATTGTTGGCATTGGATAGTGATTTCTTTTAAGGGCCTTGTTCAGTGGCTTAGGATCAATGCATATTCTTAACTTGCCTGATGGTTTTTTCACTATCACCAAACTGCTTATCCAGTCTGTGCTTTCCTGTACTGGTGCTATCATACCTCTGCTGTGCAAATCCTGTAGTTCCTCTTTAAGCGGTTGCATTAAGGCTACAGGTACTCTTCTTGTAGGCAGTCTGGTAGGCTGTATTGTGTGATCAATTTCTAGTTTGTATTTACCTTCCAGGCACCCATCACCTTCAAATAAATCAGCATACTCTGTTTTTATGTGGTGAAAAATCCAAAATGTATTCTGCCTTTTGTGTAGGATTTTGAGTATTGTCAGAAACTTCCAGAGCCATGATGTTATGGGACTGCACCTTTATTAAGTCCATAGCCTGAACTGCTTTAACTCCCAGCAAAGGAATGTGATCGTCCTCCTGCAACACAGTAAACTCCACTCTGTAGCTCTTTCTGTTACGTGGATTTCTTCATTTTAGCTTGCATGTTCCCATGGGTTTCAGAACACTTTTGTTGTACATGACCAGTACCTTATCAGTGGGCTCAATGGGAACCTGTTTGTTAAGCAGAGTAAATGGAATGACATTGCAACTTGCTCCACAATCCAGCTGAAATCTTATGGGCTGTTCATCCACCATAAATATGGCAAAGAGCTGCTTTGCATCATTGGCTACTGGCTGTTTGACTACATTGACGTTCTCTGTTGCAGACTGCAGCTGCAGCCATGTGATGCCCTCTGTGCTGTCCCCGTCTGTGTCCTGGGTCACTGTGTGGACTTGTCTGTACTGTTTGCTGGTTTTGAATCTGCACACAGCTGAAAAGTGGTTCATCTTGCCACAAGTCCTGCAGGACTCCCCATACGCTGGACATTTCTCTTTGTCTCTTTCATGTCTTTTGCCACAGTATTTACACTGGACTGAACTCACAGGGAGCCTGGACCTTGCTCTGCCTTTCACAGATACTGCATGTACTGAGGCATCACTGGTGCCCTCCATCATCTTCAGCCTGTCTTTAGTCAGCTCTGCAGCCCTGCAGATTTGTATACATTTCTCCAGCGCCAGCTCTTCCTCCCTCAGTAATCTTTCTCTGAGGTGAGAGTCTCTGATGCCACACACTATCCTGTCTCGGATAAGGGAGTCCTTGATGTCCCCAAATCCACAGGTTGCAGCCAGTCTCCTCAGCTCTGTCACATATCTGTCCACACTGTCCCCAATCTCCTGATTCCTTGAGAAGAACTTGTATCTCTCCACCGTCTCATTCTTTTTGGGGTCACAGTGCTTATCAAATGCTTGCAGTATGTCTGTCAGTGCCATGCTGTCTGTGAGCAGGGTCTCAGCTAGTTCTCTGCCTTTTTCCCCAATCAAGTAATAAAACAGCTTTACTTCCCTCTGCTCATCTCTGGGTGCCACTGTCAGGTCCACATACAGAGTAAACTCTTCCTTCCAGTGTCTCCATGTCTGTGAGAGATTGGAAGAAGTGACATCCAGTCTCTGAGGGGGTTTCAGGCCACTCTCCATAGTGCAGTCTGATAGGGACTCTGTACTTACAGTTGGTGATTCTCTGTACAGTTCCAGTGTCACACAATCTGTATTTGTAGACAGAAGACTTGCTATTCAGAGGTTCAGTGCCCAGCTGCCACCATGTTCTGTTAGTGGATCCTGCTCAGATGCTCACACACTGTAGTTAACAGGAGACATTTTATTAGGTGCCCGCCGCTTCGCCTGGGGGCCCGAGACCTGTCGCTCCGCCTGGGGGTCCGGCACCCGCCGCTCCGCCTGAGGGCCCGAGACCTGTCGCTCCACCTGGGGGTCCAGGGCCTGCCGCTCCGCCTGAGGGCCCGAGACCTGTCGCTCCACCTGGGGGTCCGGCGCCCGCCGCTCCGCCTGAGGGCCCGAGACGTGTGTCGCTCCATCTGGGGGTCCGGCGCCCGCCGCTCCGCCTGAGGGCCCGAGACCTGTCGCTCCGCCTGGGGGTCCGGCGCCCGCCGCTCCGCCTGGGGGCCCGATGCCTGTTGCCCCGCCTGGGGGCCCGATGCCTGTCGCCCCGCCTGGGGGCCCGATGCCTGTCGCCCCTCCTGGGGGCCCGATGCCTGTCGCCCCTCCTGGGGGCCCGGCGCCCGCCGCTCCGCCTGGGGGCCCGATGCCGGTCGCCCCGCCCGGGGGCCCGGTGCCTGTTGCCCCGCCCGGGGGCCCGGTGCCTGCTGCTCCGCCTGGGGGCCCGGTGCCTGCTGCTCCGCCTGGGGGCCCGCTGCCTGCTGCTCTGCCTGGTGGCCCGGTGCCTGCTGCTCCGCCTGGGGGCCCGGTGCCTGCTGCTCCGCCTGGTGGCCCGCTGCCTGCTGCTTCGCCTGGTATTCCGATGTGCCTCTGCCCGGTGTGCCTCTGCCCGGAGTCCAGGCCCGATGTGCCTCTGCCCGGAGTTTAGCCCGATGTGCCTCTGCCCGGAGTCCTGCCCGATGTGCCTCTGCCCGGAGTCCTGCCCGATGTGCCTCTGCCCGGAGTCCAGCCCGGTGTGCCTCTGCCCGGTGTGCCTCTGCCCGGAGTCCAGCCCGATGTGCCTCTGCCCGGTGTCCAGCCCGATGTGCCTCTGCCCGGAGTCCAGCCCGATGTGCCTCTGCCCGGAGTCCAGCCCGATGTGCCTCTGCCCGGAGTCCAGCCCGATGTGCCTCTGCCCGGTGTGCCGCTGCCCGGAGTGCCTCTGCCCGGAGTCCAGCCCGATGTGCCTCTGCCCGGAGTCCAGCCCGATGTGCCTCTGCCCGGAGTCCAGCCCGATGTGCCTCTGCCCGGAGTCCAGCCCGATGTGCCTCTGCCCGGTGTGCCGCTGCCCGGAGTGCCTCTGCCCAGGTCCAGCCCGAGTGCCTCTGCCCGGAGTCCAGCCCGATGTGCCTCTGCCCGGAGTCCAGCCCGATGTGCCTCTGCCCGGAGTCCAGCCCGATGTGCCTCTGCCCGGAGTCCAGCCCGATGTGCCTCTGCCCGGTGTGCCGCTGCCCGGAGTCCTGCCCGGTGTGCCAGTCTTTGATATCCCGCCAGTTACCAGACCCGGGTGGTGGAACATTTTGCCCAGCTAGGACTGTTTGGAGCGTCCTGAGGCCGCTCCTTGAGGGGGGGGTACTGTCAGGAATGGACTGGCCAGCAATAGTGGGACTCAGCTGCCTTATGAGCTGCAGTACCAGGGCTGGCCAGCGGGTGCTCCCAGCAATCAGAGACTCAACCTTGCAGCCAGTCAAACACCTGGAACTAATTATACTGGTGTATTTAAGGGACATTCAGACCTGCAGACTCTGCCTTGGTGTTGTGTTTCTCTTGGGCCCTGTATCCTGTTCCTGCTCTCTGTTCCTGTCTGATTCTCTGCTGACCCTGCTCTGATCCCTGGCTTGTCTGACCATTCTCCTCTGCCTGACCCTCTGTACCACGCTGCCCGCTACCTGCTGAACCTGGCCTGTGACCCCGACCATTCTCCGCTTGCTCCCCCTGTACCTACCTGCCCGACTGATATTGACCCGGCCTGCCTGACGACGCTTGCATTGTATGTACTGTTATCTGTGGGTGGTTGGTTGGTTTGTTTGCACTGTGTTATGTTTTAGTATTGCACTGCGTTTATGTTTGTATGGTTAGTGTTAATAAATTACATTGTTTATAACATATCTGAAGTCTGCGTTTCCCTGCGTCAGTCACACACCTCTGGTCATACCCGGGAGCCCTGACATGCACCATGCATGTGAGATATTGCCATGAACATCAGATCAAGGGCAGTAATTCTAACACTAGATCTCCTCTGTAAATCTAAAATGGTAGCTTGTAAAGGCTTTTAAAACATTACCTATGGATATTAAAAACGTATGTAGTTTGTCGCCATTGCATGGGGCATGCACAGTTTTAAAGCATGTCATATTTGGTATCTATTTACTTGGCATACCATCATCTTTTATATTTTATCAAATAATTGGCCAATATATTGTGTTTTTTGTGCATTCAAAGTAAAAAAAAGTGTACTTTTAAAAAAAAAACATTGCGTTTGAAAAATCGCTGCGCGAGTAATATGTGACAGAAAAAATTGCAGCACCCACCATTTTATCCACTAGGGTGTTTGCTTTAAAATATATATAATGTTTGGGGTTTAAATTAATTTCCTAGCAAACAATACTGATTTTTTTTCATGTGAACAAAAAGTGTCAGAAAAGGCTTGGTCTTAAGGTGGTTAGAAGAGTGAATGATGTGTGGCATAAACTTCTAATGCTGTGCATAAAATGCCCCCCCCACCCCCCAAAACAACCCCTTTTTGGAAAGTAGACACCCCAAACTATTTGCTGAGAGGCATGTTGAATTAATAGAAGAATTTCTTTTTTTACCACAAGTTTTTGGAAAATGACAAACAAAAAAAGTTTTTTTTTTACACAAAATTGTCACTTAAATGATTTATTGCTCACACATGTCATGGGTATATGTGGAATTACTCCCCAAAATACATTCTGCTACTTCTCCCGAGTATGGGGAGTATGGGGGTACCACATGTGAGAGACGTTTTGGCAGTCTAGCCAAGTACATAAGCACCTTCAGGCTTTTAAAGGGTTTTATTTCCCCATTACACTTCCTGACTACCTATTACAGTTTCGGAGGCCCTGAAATGCCAGGATAGCACCAAACCCCCCCAAATGACCACTTTTTGGAAAGTAGACACCCCAAGGAATTTGATAAGAAGCATGGTGAGTATTTTGCAGACCTCGTTTGTTGCCACAAGTTTTTGGAATATGAAGAAAAAAAACAAAAAAACCTATTTTTTCTTTTCTTTTTTTTATATTTCAAAAGCTTGTGAGAAAAAATGAGATCTGCAAAATACTCACTATGCCTCTTTTTAAATTTCTTGGGGTGTCTACTTTCCAAAAAGGGGTCATTTGGGGGGGTTTGGTGCTATCCTGGCATTTCAGGGCCTTCAAAACTGTGATAGGTAGTGATGAAGTGAAATGAGGAAGTTACACACCTTCAGGCTTTCAAAGTGGTCATTGGATTTCAGGCTCCTGTATGTGGCTAGGATCCCAAAAAGTCTCACACATGTGGTATCCCCATATTCGGTAGAACTTGCAGAATGTATTTTAGGGTGTAATTCCACATATGCCCATAGCAAATACCACCAAAAGAAAGCTCTATTTGTGTGAAAAAAAGGACGTAAATTTTGTTTGGGTACAGTGTTGCATAACGTGCAATTATCAGTTGAATTAGTGCAGCGCCGAGTAGCAAAAAGAGGCCTGGTCATTAAGGGGGTAAATCCTCTAGAGGGCAAGTGGTTAAGGATGTGGCAGCTCTCCGATCCTTAACAACAAGCTATTCACGAATCAATTTGGATCATTTGTTATTTCGAATCTCCACTCTACTCTTCCAGTGGTCACCACAGCTGAATCTGGGTCACAGGAAAACAAAGTAAGTACACTACTGTAACCAACAAGAGAAGTATGGCCAAAATAGTTTAGCCACACTTCCCTTTTAAATATGGGGCTTGATGGTCAGGGAGCTCAAACACTTGTTTTCACCACCCCTCAGCTGCCCGTGTAAACAATACCTGATGAAAAAAGAATGAGACTGCTTCTTTAATATGCATTGTCTGGGCACATGTCCACTTTTAGCAGGTTCTGCATATATAAGTACAAATCTCAGCCGATTACAAACCCAAGTTCTTATTGCCTGGTCTGCCCAGCACTGGAGCATTATGTCCTCAGGCATCTGAAAATTGATCTACATCTGCTGGGACTGGCTGTAGAGATAATAGCCATCTCTGTCAGCTTACCACATTCACTTGTCTAGTATGTGCAGCAATTCCAGAGGACACCAGAGTGCTAAGAACATCCGTCTGTTACTAAAGTCTGTAATTCTGTCAAGGAATTTGGTGATGAGGCCAGAGCAGATTACCATGTTTCTTATAAAAGTGCACTTATGCTTTAAACCTGAACTCCGAGATTCATGAGAAATCTTGCCCCGCTGCAAGAGTAAATACTTATTACGTGGAGGGAAGAGGCAGGCTCCTTCCATCTGTATGTTTGTTGTGTATAGACCAGGAAACAAAAAAAAAATTCCATAGGATTTACCTCCCCTTAATGACCAGGCCTCTTTTTGCTGTATTCGGCACTGCACTAATTCAACTGATAATTGCACGGTCATGCAATGCTGTACCCAAACAAAATTTATTTCCTTTTTTTCACACAAATAGAGCTTTCTTACAGTGGTATTTGATCACCTGATTTTTATTTTTTTGCGCTATAAACAAAAAAAGACTGAAATTTTGAAGAAAAACTATATTTTTTACTTTTGGCTATAAAAAGTATATAGTAATCTCAAAGTTAGTCATAAATTTAGGTCAAAATGTATTCTGCTACATGTTTTTGGTAAAAAAAATCCCAAAAAGTGTATATCGATTGCTTTGCGTGAAAGTTATAGCATCTACAAACTATGGTATAGATACTGCAATTTACGCCATTTTTTGCTATACAGCGCTGCACTAGTTTAACAGACAATTGCACGGTCATGCAATATGGTACATAAATTCAATTTCGTCCTTTTTTCACACAAATAGAGGTTTCTTTCAGTAGTATTTGATCATCTGTGCGCTTTTTATTTTTGGCGCTATAAACAAAAAAAAACTATATTTTCTCATTTCTGTCATAAAAAATATCAAAAAAGCTCAAATTTTATTATAAATTTAGGTCAAAATGTATTCTGCTACATGTTTTTGATTTAAAAAATCCCAAGAAGTATGTTGATTGCTTTGTGTGAAAGTTATACAGTAGCATCTACAAACTATGGTATAGATAATGGCATTTACACATCCAGGGGCGGACTGACCATTTGGAAACTCGGGCATTGCCTGAGGGCCCGGGGTCAGTAGGGGGCCCCATGAGATGCCCCTGGTACCTTTTTCATAGGCTTTTTTGAGTTTGGGCAAGGACACAGGAGCCCCATGATCCCCTATTGCCCGGGGGCCCCATGAGTTCTCAGTCCGCCCCTGTACACAGCTTTTACTTTCTGACTTCCCATCACATTTCTTGCGGTGCTAAAATACCAGGACAGTACAAATACCCCAAATTACCCATTTTCAGAAAGTAGACACCCTAAGCCAGTGATGGCGAACCTATGGCACGCGTGCCAGAGCTGGCACGCAGAGCCATCTCAGTGGGCACGCCAGGAAGAAGAGGATGATGAGCGCGCATGGACCGGCCATCCAGATCTCGTCCACACTGGATCCCCATCAAACTACATTTCCCACATGTCTCTGGGGCCAGGGTGGGCGTGGACGAGAGGAAACAGCTCCAATGCGGCTCTGGCACCAGGGGTGATGTACCCGGGGATGGGCGCGGAAGAGAGGAAGAGGCTCCCACACTGCTCCCACACTGCTCCGGGGCCAGGGGCAACATGTTCAGCGTGGATGGGAATGAGCTGCTGGGTTGGAAGCCACACCGACGCTGCCAGAGGTGAGATTGCTTGCAGTGTCATCCATCAGTGCCCAGCAGTGTCGCCTGTCAGTGCCCAGCAGTGTCGCCCATCAGTGCTGCCCATCAGTGCCATCCATCAATGATGCCCAGCAGTGCCATCCATCAGTGCCCAGCAGTGTCGCCTGTCAGTGCTGCCCCAGCAGTGCCACCTGTCAGTGCTTCCCAGCAGTGCCACATGTCAGTGCCAGCAGTATCGCCCATCAGTGCTGCCCATCAGTGCCACCCATCAATGATGCCCAGCAGTGCCATCCATCAGTGCCCAGCAGTGTCACCCATCAGTGCCCAGCAGTGTCGCCTGTCAGTGCTGCCCAGCAGTGCCACCTGTCAGTGCTGCCCAGCAGTGCCACCTGTCAGTGCCCAGCAGTGTCGCCCATCAGTGCTGCCCATCAGTGCCACCCATCAATGATGCCCAGCAGTGTCATCCATCAGTGCCCAGCAGTGTCACCCATCAGTGCCCAGCAGTGTCGCCTGTCAGCGCTGCCCAGCAATGCCACCTGTCAGTGCTGCCCAGCAGTGCCACCTGTCAGTGCCCAGCAGTGTCGCCCATCAGTGCTGCCCATCAGTGCCACCCATCAATGATGCCCAGCAGTGCCACCAATCAGTGCCGTCTGTCAGTGCGTCCAGGTAGGCAAGTGGTTAATTGCAGTGTTGGCACTTTGAAATAAAAAAGTTGGTTTGTGTTGCAGTTTTGGGCACTCGGGCTCAAAAAGGTTCGCCATCACTGCCCTAAGCTATCTGCTGAGAGGCATATTCAGCCCATGGAAGATTTTTTGGAAAATTACAAAAACATTTTTTTTTTACACTCAAAGTTGTCATTTAAATTATATATTTCTCACAAACTCCAGGGGTAAATGTAAAATTACACCCTAAAATACATTCTGCTACTTCTACCGAGTATGGGGATACCACACGTGTGAGACTTTTGGGAGCTTAGCCACATACAGAAGCCTGAAATACAATGACCACTTTGAAAGCCTGAAGTCCATAACTTCATTTCACTTCCTCACTACCTATCACAGTTTCGGAGGCACTGAAATGCCAGGAAAGTACCAACCCCCCCCCCCCCCCCTCACCAATGATGCCTTTTTGGAAAGTAGATACCACAAGGAATTTAAAAAGAGGCATGGTGAGTATTTTGCAGATCTCATTTTTTTTCTCACAAGGTTTTGAAATATAAAAAAGAAAAGAAAAAATATGTTTTTGTTTTCTCTCTTCATTTTCCAAAAACTTGTGGCAACAAATTAGATCTGCAAAATACTCACCATGCTTCTTATCAAATTCCTTGAGGTGTCTACTTTATAAAAAGGGGTCATTTGGGGGGGTTCGGTGCTATCCTGGAATTTCACAGCCTCTGAAACTGTGATATGTATTCAGGAAGTGTAATGAGAAAATAAAGCCCATTAAAAGCCTGAAGGTGCTTATTAGATTTTGGGGTCATGTACTTGGCTAGACTGCTAAAAAGTCTCTCACGTGTGGTATCCCCATACTCGGGAGAAGTAACAGAATATATTTTGTGGAGTATTTCTACATATATCCAAGGCATGTGTGAGCAATAAATCATTTAAGTGACAATTTTGTGTTAAAAAAAAAAACATTTTTGTCAATTTCCAAAAACTTGTGGTAAAAAAATAAATTCTTCTATTAATTCAACATGCCTCTCAGCAAATAGCTTGGGGGTGTCTACTTTCCAAAAAGAGGTCGTTTTGGGCGGTGGGGGCATTTTATGCCCAGCATTAGAAGTTTATGCCACACATCATTCACTTTTCTAACCACCTGAAGACCAAGCCTTTTCTGACACTTTTTGTTCACATGAAAAAAATAAATTTTTATGTCACATAGTACTAAAGCATCAATTTTTTCAAACGCAATTTTTTTTTTTAAATACACTTTTTTACTTTTAATGCACAAAAACACAACATATTGGCCAATTATTTGGTAAAAGATGATGGTATGCCGAGTAAATAGATACCAAACATGACACGCTTTAAAACTGTGCATACCCTGTGCAATGGCGACAAACTGCATACATCTTTAATATCCATAGGCAACGCTGTAAAAGCCTTTGCAAGCTACCATTTTTGTACAGAGGAGGTCTAGTGCTAGAATTACTGCCCTTGATCTGACTTTCACAGCGATACCTCACATGCTGTTTACATACCGGTACAGGGTCAACATTCGAGCACATGTGTGAGGGTGCTTTTTTTTCTGTTATTTTCATGCTTTCAATTATTTTTACACTGTCCCTTTCATTAATTTTTTATCACTTTTAATGCTATTACAGGGAATGAAAATATCCCCTATAACTTCAATGGGCATTGTCATAGATTCTTTTTTGAGAAATCTGGGGTCTATCAGACTCTAGATATCTCCTCTGCGCTTACATTATCTAATCTCACCAAGATCGGTGTGATCAAATGCGGTCAGGAATTGGTTAAAGAAGCGGTTTGTGTTACGGCGCGCTGTGTTACTTTAACTGACTATTGCGCAGTCATGCAACACTGTACCCAAATTAAATTTATGTCCTTTTTTTCCACAAATTGAGCTTTCTTTTGATGGTATTTGATCGCCTGTGCAGATTTTATTTTTTGCGCTATAATAAAAAAAAAAGAACGACAATTTTGAGAAAAAAACAATATTTTGGACTTTTTGCAATTAAACATGTCCAGTAAAAAAATTTAAAAAATCGCATTTTGTCATAAATTTAGGCCAAAATGTATTCTGCGACATGTCTTTGCTAATAAAAAATCCCAATACGTGCAAATTAATTGGTTTACGTGAAAGTTATAGTGTTTATAAATGGCGGTATAGAAACTGAAATTTTTTTTATACTAATACTGGTGGCGATCAGCGACTTATGGCGGCGATCAGAGACTTATGACAACGATTAGCGACTTATAGTGGGACTGCGGAACTGCGGCGGGCATTCTGACACTGGGGGGAACTGACTTGGTGTTACTGACATCCCCAATGACACCAATACAGTGATCCGTGCTAAAAAAAAAAAAGCACGGAAACTGTACTAGTGGCACTGGGCAGGAATGGGTTAACATGAGGGGCAATCAAAGGGTTAACTGTGTGATGAGAGTATTTTACTAGGGGTTGGGGGTGTTCTTCACTGTAAGCACACTGCTCTAGATGGCTCTGCTCAGCCATCCATAGCAGTGAGCCCAAACCGACAGGGAGGAGGACTGTTGGTAAACAAAGCAGCCCTCCTCCCTGTCGGTGATCACCGGTAATCTTCGGGTTCCGGTGGGTAATCACTGGCACCCGAAGATTTATGTGCTATACAGCAGGTAAGTGGTTAATGAACATTTAACCCTTGCAGTGTGTGGTGGGGAACTGCAGCTGTAGTTTTTTTCCTCTGCCTACTGCAGGGCTTTACTGTAAATCTATAATCCTTGCCTATATTCCAGTTTAAACTGGTGCCATGATCACTGCTCCAGGTTTCCATGTTTTAGGCAGGGTTCTCACTAATGTGGTGCGGTACACCAAATTCATGTGCAAATCACATGCGAATTCTGTGCGGTGCGATTTGAGCCATACATTATTAGTTGCTTTAAATTTTAAACAGCAGTTGCAAAGCATTTTTTCTCTTTTCTCTCTTTGTGAGTGACAGACAGGAAAAGCAGGACTGTGCTCTGATTGGTTGTTGCTACAGTTGAGAAGGATCTACCCATAGCAGCACTGTTGCAGCTGGACCTTATGATTGGCTGTGGAGGAAACGAGAGAGGAAAAAGGAAGAAGAAGCACATGTGGGGATATTGGGGATATTGGGGATATTGGCATTGTTTTTCCTATCTAATTACTTATGTCTTCACTATTATGTTCTATGCACATTTATTGATAGCGCTGTACTATTATTAGACTTTGTTTCCTACATGTGGGGAGGCAGACATTTTCAGGGGACCGCATGGAGCAATGGCTCCTGGTGTAAAATCACAGAGTTTCACTCTCTGTGCTGCGTCAGCCCATGGGCTGGGCTGGGAGTGTGTAGCAGAGAAATTGTTGCAGGAGGACAGTGTACAAACTAAGGATTGTCCTGCCTGACACTCATGATTACAGCCACTCAAGTGCATGTGTCTCTCAAAGTCTGGAGCTGCTGAAAGAGAGAGGATTTCTACTGCTGTCTAATGCTATCTAGAGGACAATCCAGAAACAGTGAGTACTCTGTGATGAAAGGGGATTTTGATATTGCTGCATTTGCTGTTCCTCTCTGGAGAATGGTCATGAGAAAGCCTGCTCTCTAATTCTCAGAGTGACACAGATCTGGGAAAGCCCTAGCTGCTCAGAATTAGCTATTCCTGATGCTGATTGATGAGAGAACTATGTATCTGTATATTACTGGTTTGTCTCCTCAAGACTTGTGCTGTGCCTCAAGAATGTGTTTAGTTCCAAGTCCCCACAGAAGCTTGCTGCTCTAAATATACTGAGCAAGTGTCAGTATATCAGGATTTCACCTGTATGGTAAAGATTTGTTGACGTGTTCTTT